ATACAGTGTTAAACGAGTTACACAATAAGGATGAGAAATGCGTAAGATGCTGAGTGATTAATAAGTTAGGTAACAATGTACTGAGTTTAGCTCAAATCATAGAAATTGCAAACAAGCAAAATACACTGTATCAAGAGGAGTGAGGTTAATGTCAGAGATTACATGTCAAATGAAAGAGAGAATAAAGACATCCAGTTACCAGGCAGAGCAAGGAAAGACTAATAACTGCTTCTTTCTGAATACATAAATCTGGTTTCAAGCGTTTGATAGAAATTGCTTCGGCAAAATTGAGGAGAATCGATCTCATTTATCTATTGATAATTTTAAAGGATTTCGTGATTTTCACCTCATGACCCTTATCAAGGAGTTGCTTGGTAATGGCACTGTTGTAGATGTTCGTATCTTTGAGACGTAGGATTTCTGGTACATCTTCGAGAAATCGAAGGTGTGCCGTTCTTTCTATCTTCCAAATGTAACTCCTCCCACAGATACATGTACATTTGTATACACAGTTGGAGTTAACATGAGAAGGCTATCTGTGGACTGTTGATTACACCAAAACACATGTTGTTCGACGGACGGGAACCAACTTAGCTGCAGGATAGGCTGTGGCTAGTGACGTACTCAGTCTTCTGTTGACCATTGCTGCAATGTTTGCACCTTTAAAATCTGGTTGAACGAAGAGAGGCTTTTCAACACTGTGATTTGTTCGGTGTTTGAGCCTTCACATCGTTCCGTACTTGTTAATAAATCTCTGAGGGTGACGGTTGTTTTTCAACACCTTTTCGGGAATCGTAAATTCTTCCTCTAGTTTCTCTATAGAGCATATTCTCCTCGCTTTATAGTACAGACTCTTGACTAGTGCTCGTTTACAGCCATTTGCACAAAAACTATGAAAATGCAAGTATTGTCCGTTCCATGTCAGCTTTCGGTAAATTGACCTCTGGAGACTGCCATCTTCTAGGCGTTGCATGGCAATGTCAAGGAAATGGAACTTTCCATCATTTTCATGTTCCATAGTAAATTCAATATTTGTATGTGCATTGTTGAATATGTTGCCACATTATTCTGTACAAACCACTGTTGTTCTTGCTTTATTCAAATTCATCAAGGGGAATAAATGTATGAAGACTTGAAGAGTAATTAAGATTTATTAAATGATCACAGAAATCATAAAATAGTGAATTTATCTGCGTCATTGACAACGGCCTTTTTGATCTATGCCATCAAACGTCGCCAGTTATTGATTCTCAGCGTTTAAGCAATCCCAGTCAGGTAGTCTGCACCTCCCTGTGTGAAACTAAATATGTTGTAAGAAAACTGAAACTTGTAAGCTCATCATTATCTCTAGATTCTATTTTTTTCCTTTGAAATATTTCAGTTTCTTCATGAGCTGACATTGGTTAGCGAACCACTGAGAAACCACTGGGAGTAATGGACAGCCGTTTCACCTTAGTTTAGGGCTCTTCACCAGTATTCACCCCCTGGGGCTCGAACTCAGGACCTACTGGTTACAAGGCGAGTTCGTAGACCATTAAGCCACTGGGACTACAAGTTTAAACGCCATTCACAATATGACTAGTTAGTTTTTGGTAGAATCTGAGCGATCAGATTCCGTCCCAGAGGCTGGATAGTAGTCAACGAGGTCACCTTGTAATCAGAAGGTCCTAGGTTCGATCCTAGATGGGATGATCAGTACTAGGATAGCAGAGCTGTTCAGTACTCTCTAGCCTTTAAATGATTTACCTAGTTGAAGTCAGTTTGTAATCAGACTTGAAACTTTTGCTAGTTAGTAGCTCTTTTCCTCTTAGAAAATTAATTATGAAGTCACATTTGTCACATTTGTCTGAATTATGTTATGTTTTTTTGTTCTCTATCACACTCTGAAAGAAAACTATTTATCAAATATTGATTTTATTTTTGTACTTAATTGTTGCTACATCACGCTAATCTATGATGTACGTGTGGCATTGTGTGTGTGAGTGTGAGTGTGCATTGTACCATAGAGAAAGCTTCTTTCTTTTTTCTTTTTCTCTTCATTCTTTCACGCTTTATAGATCATGCTTACAATCTTAGTAGAAATCATTTTTACCTTTTTCTTCATTAGACTTTTGTACTTTTTATATGTAGACAAATAAAGTTAACAGATGACTTAATCTAAGCTTCCTAACACATCAAATACACACACAAACACACACATCTGATGGAATGATTTCTGTGTAAATCTTTATCCACCTCATTGAACAGCTATATGGCAGTAGTATGTGTCAGACAGAAGATCCACAATGGAAAACTCTGTGAGGTGTATGAAGTAAAAATACTGAAGTCAGACAAGACTGCCCACTATTACCACCCACGATGATATTCCTAACTTTGGTAGACTGGATTATGCGTCAGACTGTGCGTTGAAAGTGAGAAGACAAGAATACGCTGGACCACCGATAAGAAGACTTTAGAAGATCTGGACTCGCGTATGGATGATTTATGTGCAATGTCACACAAACTCGAAGATATACAGGCGAAATAGTTCGGTCACTCAAAATACCTTCCAATTTTCTCAACATAATCGCTTTTGTCCAGTAAAACTATACCGTCACCTTTATCCGCCTTTTAATAATTAAGCTTTCGTTGCTTCTAAGTTCTCTTAGGGCTTCTCTGTGTTGTTTAGATAACAGACTATTTACTGAATGTCTATTATTCTTGTATTGAATTTGACTATAATAACCAAACGTTTTGAACAGCTTCTATGTGAATAAGCGTCACTCACCAGCCTGTCTATTCCTGCAAAATTGAATAAGTCATTACTACTGGGCTATATTCCTTCACAATGAATGTTACACTCAATTCTCAGTACCGTAATGTCTGGTGGTGTAACTCACTTGGTAGACAGACAGCTGAACTGATTTAATTCTAATCTTTTTCAAACAAATATGCCGTTTCTTTTTATTCTGTCTCATTCTATCTCACAAGTTTAAGGAACTGTATTTCTATCCTAGAATGTCCATTTTAAGATATTCACTTATTAGGCTACTAAGTTCAATCTTAATGAACCTCTGTTTAAAAGTTTAAAATAGTACCTAAAGAAGTCGCACCTAATGCGAAACTTTTTCGAATTATCCTTTTAATTCAGAGAAGTTGAATAAGTGATTCTTATAAGGTTAAAAGGCCATTTATCTGTCTACCTTGAGAGAAAGAAATAAAGAAGAACATGGTGTTTATGACCACTGACGTCTTTCGCATCAAGCATCTGACCATAATAAAACGCTAACACCACCGTTAAACACTTATCGAGATCATAGTGTCTTTATGATTGTCTGAAGTAGGAAAATACCTTAGATTACAGTCTTTATAAAATTGTGGATTTCAACTTATAACGTATAAAATATTTTCATAAAGAATTTGATTTATAAGCAAATAACTATAAAGTACGTTATCCAGAGTTCTAGTGATCCTATTTCCACGAGTTGGGTTCAATATGTTGGTTGTGCAAACAGCTGCTGACTAATAACACTAAACGACAGTGTTTCTATACACAACTACAGAGTGAGTCGGTAGTTCAAGGCTAAGGTGCTCCCCAACCATCTAGGTGGTCAAAGTTCACTTTCCGGTAGAAACGCTCGCAAATCTCCTTTAGTTGCCAAGTCTGATAGTAACAAGGGAAAAGACAGAAGTCTGAAGTCAGGCCAGCAATCCCGCCCAATGTTAGCGAAATTTCAAAAGCTTGGAGCCTCATGTTCCACTCGGAACTAAAGGAATGAATACATTGGCTGTATAGCAGTACTTGCCCCTCTGCCTTAACGTGTGTTGATTCTACAGGTCTGTTGGTGAGTACTGGTGAGATTTTCCAGAGGAAGACAAATACACAATTGGTGCTTTTTCGTCTCCAGTGGTTTTCTCAGATGATTTCAGCCTCTGTTAAAATCTTCCCTTGAAGTCAACTGAATCTGCATAAATCTATTAACGCCATCGAATTTCCAAGAGTTTAAGAACTGCTCACTGTATTTATACTACTTATATACATATATATTATTCATTATTATTATTGTTCCCTTGGGTTCCTAGTGAAACATAGGGTTTCAACAACACGCCTCCACTTGCTTCTGTTTTCTGCTACACTTTTCACCTTCATCCATGTTAGTCCATACTGTTTCAACTCCTCTTCACACGATCTCCTCCATGTCACCCTTGCACCGACGAACCACTCGCCGCTTCCCTTTCGGGTTCCACTCGAGCACTGGCCTGACGCGCGATGTCACCCAGCGGCCTCCTCAGCGACTATCCAATCCATCTCCACTTTCTCCTGCATATTTGTTGAGCGATTGGTTCTTGTTTTGTTTGTTCCCATAGCTTCTTGTTGGTGATTCTTTCCGGCCATCTGATCTTCAGTATAGAACGAAGACAGTTAGTTGTTGATAAAGGTCTGCAACAGGCTGTTGGAAATATTCTTTGTGACCCGCTGGCCAAGTTTCTGATCATCCGTATAGAAGAACTGACTGACTTGACGTTTGTATTGAAAATCCGAATTTTGTTGTTGTTGATGCTGATTTGAGTGACGAAGATTTCCAGATTGGTTTCAGGTTGATGAATGTGTTTCTCGCCTTCCCGATTCTCGATTTGACATCCTCGTCCGTTCCATGTGCCTGTAGTTGAGACAATGCTCCCTACCTGGATAAGTGAATGAAGTAACCTCTTTCAAATGCCTCCCGTTGATGGTGATTGGCGCTGAATGTTGCTGCTGCTGTTGTTGTTGGTTGGTTGGTTGTTTTCATAACCTCCGTCTTGTCTATGTTTACCTGGAGTCCTGTTTTTGCTGCTTCTTCGATCAATTTGTCGGTTTTCGCTTGTAAGTCTTCGATTTTGTGTGACATCAGACATAAGTCATCCGTGAAATCCAGGTCTTCTAGGTTCTCCATGTATATATATATATATAATTTGGTGCAAATAATCTTATTTTCTATTTCTCATTCTTCACCTCCCCCGCCCCATTTTTTCTTATCCAGCATGTTGTCCAATGTGTTGTAGTCGCTGTAAAAAGTATCGGTAAAATAATGATGGTCACTTTCCTGCTGGAATTCATGTTTGCTGTTATTGGTGTACAGCTGTTTGCTGGTAAATTTCATTCATGTACAGACAGTTCACGTCTTGTACCAAGTCAATGTCGGTAAGTGGAAAAAAAGGGGATGAGGTTTGCTGATTGAAACATTTTTTGTTGTTGTTGTTGTTGTGTGCAATTAAATGAAATTTCAAATTAGATTACGAGTTGACATCAGTCAGGGAACCAATGAGGATCGGGAAGTATTAAACAGGGGGTTTTGACCCGATTGAGGATTCTTCATTAGCGCATACGCATCAGGGACAGAATCCAGGAGCTTCAAGTTGCGAGGCAAGCTAGTTGATCATTCAGCTACTGTGACGGAATCCAATGGCCCATCAGTTCTTACTTCACTCAATTCATGATACATAGAGCCACCAACAGTACTCATCCACGATTCCCTCTGGGATCGAAACCCAACCTTCAGGTTACTAAACCAAGCATGTTGACCATTCAGCCAGTTGGGCTAGAATACTCTAAATGATTTCCGCTCGTAATCTGGTTTGATACCAACCAGATCCCTACAAACCAACACATTTAAATCAAATTTGGACAGTGGAATTTCTTGAAATTCTCGTGAGAGATCATGACCAATGGAGTCTAACAAGTTTAGTTTTACGAAAGGTACTGAATGATGGCATTGGTAAGTGATAGAACTTATTTATAGCGCAAATTTGCAAATATTAAAACTTAGGGACTACTGCACTCTGACACCATGGGATTATTGTAACTTGCATGCCTTGTAACGTAAAGACCCCGAATCCAATTTAGTTAATTTTGTTCAACAGCTCTTTAGGTGGCATCTGCTATAATTAAATATAAATTGCAATCGGTCAAATACTACCCTTGATCATACACTTGAAAAGCTGACATCTTTGTAAAATGATATAAAAGCCGGAATATACTCAAAAAAAAATTCACTAGTTCGTGAAATAATCCTAAATCACCTTCACTATGCATACAGACAACAAGAGATCTTATCGACCTACAGTAGTCCAAGGGCAAGTGATCAATACTGATATGGGTAGTTGAAAGAAGTATGGAAATAACAAGATGAAATGTTAAGACATTATTTCAAAAGAATAGACACGGAACAAAGAGTACTCTTTTCGATAAATCTATCATCAGGTTCTACAATTATATATGCATTATAATGAATGAATGAATTAGTCTTATGAACGACATTAATGCCGTTTAAATAACATCGAATCAGTAATATTGATAGATTACAGCTGAACAGCATCAACATAAAATAAACTGAATGTCGGAAGAATTAGGAAAGATAATAGTACAAATCCATGAGTTTATAGTCTCTACTGAGGGCCAGAGCAGTAGTAGTGGCTGGACTTGTTTCCTTTGATCACAGGGAACTGGTTGTTTGAGGCGAATCGCTCTGTGCTCTGTGACTTGTTTCTTTTGGACACAGAGCACAGAGCGATTCGCCTCAAACAACCAGTTCCCTGTGATCAAAGGAAACAAGTCCAGCCACTACTACTGCTCTGGCCCTCAGTAGAGACTATAAACTCATGGATTTGTACTATTATCTTTCCTAATTCTTCCGACATTCAGTTTATTTTATGTTGATGCTGTTCAGCTGTAATCTATCAATATTACTGATTCGATGTTATTTAAACGGCATTAATGTCGTTCATAAGACTAATTCATTCATTCATTATAATGCATATATAATTGTAGAACCTGATGATAGATTTATCGAAAAGAGTACTCTTTGTTCCGTGTCTATTCTTTTAAAAAATTTTAATGGGCATTTTTAATCAGTTAAGACATTAGTTTCCATATTTCTCACAAAAGTTCATTGCATTTCAGCTCTACTTTATTAGTCTGTCATCAGCGCTGAACCAAGTAGGTTTAAGTCTCAGATGCAACTTGAGAGTTGTCCTTTCATTATAAAGAAAGATATTTTGAAGTATTGTTTATGTAGGGGACTTTTGTTTGGTTGGTTGGGGGATTTCATCATGAGCTGATATCAGTTAGAGGACTATTGGAAAACCTGCCAGGTAGTACTGGACAGCTGTTTCCCCCGTCCTAGTTTGAGACCCTTCAGCGGGACGCACCCACACTGCCGGGTTCGAGCACAATTTATTGCTCATAATCAATAAATGGTTTAATTTGATGCTACGTTTTAATTCATGGATAATTCCCATCCAGGCATTGATGAAAACAAAACACGTAGTTCAGCGAAGAGTCTCTTTTCGGCGAATTCATTTTCTTAGCTGTACACTCGCAAATATACATGTGTTATTCTGTATGTATGTGTACATTAAGTTTGTCAAACAAAAATATAATTGGTTATGGTTATTTTAACTAAACAGGTGAAGATTGGTAATTGGAGTTACGTAATACAAAATCGGTCAAGAAAATTAGGTGTTACTGAAATTAGGGTAGTAACAAAGGTGATGAGTTGCCACAATCAGTTGTTAAAAAGGGGTTACGTCATAATATGAATAGATTGATGATTGAGTTTTACTCGGGATACACATAAGAACAAGGTAGAGAATACAAAATTACGTAAGAGTTCTAAATGAATACAAGAATTATAAGCAATGAAAGAAACAGGCAGAAAAACAAAATTAAGTCATCAAAATCAAGAAAGTTGTTACCAAGACAGTAGAAGTGGTTGAGTAATTCTCTTTTGTATGCACAGCTCTGGTTTTTCTAAGTGAATGGCCAGAGCTTCAGCGAAACCGTATTGCCTTTGGTAGGTTATTCTTGACTCTGTAGATTACTTTGAAGGAGGCATTTGTTGAGATGGAATGGTTTAATTTGATGCTTAAAACTAATAATTCTAACAGAATAAATATGGCGTAATAATAAACACTAGGTTACCCAATACGACCAATAGCTGATTTCAGGAATAATTATCAAAACACTTAGCTCTAATGTTATATCCTATTAGAAATCGTCCAAACTTTAGGCTAACTAATTCATATGAGATGAAAAAGAAACTAAATGATATTCAATTAATGCAATAATGGAACAATGGTTAGTTTTGAATTAATAACTAGTCTTTATTCTAATATACCAGTCAATATGGCGGCCTTAGAAGCAGTTAAAAGAGAACTAACTAACTTCTGATTCCGAACTTAGTCATAGGACAGAGCTAGTCATTGAGGAAATTATTCTAGGAATTCAATTATAGACAAAAAGAAGGTGCAGAGATGGGATGGATCACCAATATCCCCAATTGTAGGCTATTTCTTCATGGATAGCTGGGAAATATATAATCCTTAATACACTTTTGGGGAGATATATTTATGGGTGACACCTTCGCAGTATTTAAAACAGAACATATCTCTCTCTACAGTTTCTTCACAGATATAAACTCACTCACTAGTAAAGGGAATAAAATTCACATTTGAATTGGAAAATGAATAAGGAGAATTTTTTCTGTTAGATTGTAAAATCAAACGAATAGAAGAAGGTAAATTATACACTAGCGTTTATAAAAAAGAGAAGGGATGCTAGTAGACATTTAGACTTCGATTCATCTCATCCGTTATCTGTCTGTAAACGCGAGCAATAGCACTAAGTAGTATAATAAAAAAAACCTAAATGATGAAATGAGATAGATAGTAGAGCCACCACTTGTGCTTAATAAATATCTCATAAAATTCATTAAGAAGATTGAAGAAGGTCAAAAGAGAAGTAAAAATATTGGTGAAACTAATAGTGATAACATAGATAATAAAGAATATGAGGCATCTACAGTTTTACCAAATAAGTAGGGGACATCTAAAACTCTCCCTACGTAGTAGGATTCTTAATATAGCAGGAATCAGAGTGGGGGCATTTAAGCCTACAAACTCACTCAGGTAGGACAAGCTCTGCAGGTTCAAGGACCCGTTTAACCCACTTAGACAAAATAATATAATTTATGAAATAACTTGCAATGACTGTGAGTTACATCAACTACGTGGGTAACACTACTAGATCAGGAGTAGTCAGAATGGTTTACCTCACCCGCGAAGATAAGTAATTTAGAAAAAACAACTCAGCAATCGCACTGCATGCATTAACACGCAACCACACAATATGATGAGACAGACTACCGTCTTCTAGGCGTTCTATGGCGATGTCGAGGGAGTGAAACTTTCCGTCACTTTCATGTTCCATAGTGAACTCAATATTGGCGTGTGCATCATTGAATAATCTTAGTTAAGTGTGAAGCATGACTTTTATTTTTGCACACTATAAATGTGTCATCAACATATCGACAGTAGAAAGTTGTTTCGTCGATTGCATGTGCTTCAACTTTGTTCTTTCAAGGTTGGACATGAATATATATATCTGCTAAAACAGAGCTAATTGGACTGCTCATAGCTACACCATCTTTTTGGCGGTAAAGAGTGTTGTCAAATTGGAATTACACATCCATGGTACACAATAGCAGTAGTAGTCGTCGTTTGAATTCCGACTCTGAGAGTGGGAGAAGATCAGACTGCTGATCCTATTTTAGTTATATCCTTTATAACTTTCTTCCTTACATAAGTGACAAGGAATATTTTTTCTATACTTATTATTGTATTAATTCAACATTTTTTTGTATCTCTAGTGGTCAATATATCACATATGAACTGGGTGATATTAGTCGACCAGTGGTATTGGCACGTGTATGGTTAAATAATCCCCTGAATTTTGATAATGTACCCAATGCTATGCTTACTCTATTTGCTGTATCAACATTTGAAGGTTGGCCAGGTCTACTGTATAGGTAAGTAAATATATATACGTATATAAATATTACTGTGTACGGTTTAATTAATTTATTTTAGGGTTTTTTCTTCTAATGATAAATTAAAATTTCTTTTTATTAAAGGAGATTTTAATCCCCTTTTAAGGGATTGTTATTATTCGCCTACATATTACTTAATTTTCACTGATTGGCTGACTAACTGACCAACTGAGTGGTTTCAAGATAGAAATATGCACCGAAGTGCACCGGTTCAACTTGCTTTACTCCATGTAGCATACAAAGGAAGAGAAAATGGATTTGAAAGAAGGATAATAAGCCTTAATGTCTGGAAGAAAGAATAGTAACGTGGAAAACCATTTGGGTTCGGTGGTTTGGTTCTTAGAATCTCGAGGATCTCAACCAGGAAGTCTATATCTGCTTAAGTGGCCCAAACCAACTAACTGTTAAGGATTTCGTTGACTGATGAAGCCATGTTGTGGTTCGACCACCACTAGCTCTAGCTCATCGAGGAAGCCGATGGCTAGGCAAGCGTAACACATATCCTAGCTACCTCAATCGATATAGCTTCAGAACCTTATCGATTTCTTTTTCCAAGCTTACCTAACACTCGACGTGTAACCTCAGCATTACTCACTCTATTATACCACCTTTAACGAGAGATAGAACGCAGACATCTGTGGTCAAATATACCTGAGATGACATGAGTTGACAAATGTCATACGAACCTTTGGTGTCCATGCTTAGATTTGTCAGCAGTTAGTCTGTTGGGGTTGGAGCAACTTCCCAAATAAGTGAAGTTGTCTAAACACTTCACCAATTCACTCCCTGTCTTTAAGCTAGAAGTTGGTGTAGTCCAGTCCTCACAGTCAGTACTGACGATAATCAAGTCTATGCTTTATTGGTATAGGTATAAAACATTGGTACTGTGGTAGAGTGTAACTCCACTATGGATAAGATTTTATTTTGATAAATCAAACAGTGTTGTTATACAGTAATATTAACTGATGACCACATTTCGAGCACAAATTATTGCAACTCATAATCATGTCAAGTCACTACTCACATAACTTTTTCCTTCATTTATATACATGTGTGGAATCAATTAGATATTGGAATAAAAATCAATATGGGATAATGTACATTCAGAAATAATAATATGAGTGTTATGGATCAATCACAATCAGATGGGAAATAAGACGAGTGTTTTTATAGTCAAAATAAGTAACTTGTTAGAATGTTGTGATGTACGTGAATTGAAATAGAATTTTAAGATTATTTATTATCCTCCTCTGATTTGACTGACTGGTGGTAATAATATCTTCCACATCTGTGGTATGTGCTTTGAGTCATTTCTGTTACATGTGTTGGGTGTAGACTCAATGAACGAGGATTCAGTTATCAATCTGCATCTCTCTCCACCTACATAGATTACTTCTTAGAATCTTAACCCTCTCCCATCCACTCTATTATGTGGTTGTGTGTTAATGCATGCAATGCGATTGCTGAGTTTTTTTCTAAATTACTTATCTTCTCGGGGTCAACCATTCTTACCTTAGCTAAATTCTTATGTTCCGACAATCTGACTACCGGCGACCTACTAGTTTGACCGATGTAGTTGACCTACTAACAGTCATTGCAAGGTATTTTCTAAACTACATTACTTTGATTAATTGGGTCCACCGGGTCTTTTAGCCTACAGAGCTTGTTCTATCTGAGTGAGTTCGTAGATTTGAATTCCACCCTAATTCCTGCTTTATTAAGAATCCTACGTAGGGCCTCAGATATCTCCTCGTATTATTATTTCTGAATGTACATTATCTCACACTGACTTTTATTTAAATATCTAATCATTAATTACATACATGTATTTAAATGAAAGAAGAAGGTTGTGTTAGTGAGGGACTTGATATGATTATGAGTGGCAATAGTTTGTGCTCGAAACGTTATCATCGGTTAAGATTACTGTATAACAACACTGTTTGATTTATCAAAATAAAATCTTATCCATAATCGAGTCTATGCTTATATGTGGTTAAAATATGGCTGACTTCTCTAAAAACTTGATCGATATCTGAAATGTTGAACCTACTAACATACACATACTAACTCACCATCAATAGGTAATAAACATTTGCGCTTTAGACTAAAACAGAAACATACCAAACAGTGCTAAACGTGTACAGTAAAATGTTTAATCTGAGTTAAGTTCAGTAAACATGTGACAGGGAGAGAAGGAGACTAGGATAGCAGACAATACTATTATCAGCTGTAGACTGTGGATATTTACACAACAATTACTTCAAAAAGTTAAACTGACAGTTCAACTGTTAGTCGTAATTAGCACACATATGAATTAAGAAGTGTTGTACTGGTGTTATCTACCATAAAATGGCACCCTTTCTTTGTCATTCAATGATATTTCTTTATCAATAAAACCTCAATGTGTTTAACACTTTCTCGGTTTGATAAGATTCAAATATCCGCAAAATCACTGTTCAATAGGTATTATTACTTCAAAATATTTCAATTTGTCTGGCACACTGGAACTCGCCTAAGAAACTTAGTTCTTCATATCAATCAAATGCCCATAAACCAACACTTGAAAATTCATCTATTGTTCACTAAAGACTGATGACAGGATAAAGTTGCATGAGGTTTTAGTGAGACGATTCATATTCATCGGGCTTCACCAGGTTGGGTGTGAAGAGTAGCATTCCCATTGGCTGGCTCTGGTGTCTTACATCACGAGTTAGCAAACTGGATTTTGTTCCAGTGGTTGAACAGTCAACGGTATGACCTATTAACCTGAAGGTCCTGCATTCTATCCCTAATGGGTGGGGTTATAGATCTGTACTACTGGAGAGCCCCAACTAAGACGAAACAGGTGTCCAATACCTCATGGATTTCATCGGTTAGCCTAGGTGATGTCGGTTCATTAATGTCCCAATTTTTCACTTTCTGTTAGGCACAGAGTGATCAAATATTGTAAGCTTTAAAAACCAAATACATCAAATACTCTAATAGAGATTTACTGTATGATCCCAGGGATCACAGTTACACATAATGTGGAGAGTAATTCATTATTATTTGTTCCCTTGCGTTCCGAGTGGAACATAGGGCTTCAGCAACACATCTACACTTCGTTCTGTTTTCTGCTGTCCTCTTCAGCTGGTTCCACGATTACCTAAACTCTTTCATCTGTTCCTCACACGATCTCCTCCATGTCACCCTAGGATGACCCACTCATCGCTTCCCATTGGGATTGCACTCGAGGGCCTGGCATGCTATGTAATTCGGTGGCCTCCTCAATCTGTGCTTGATCCATCTTCACTTTCTCCTACATATTTGTTGAGCAGTCGGCTCTCGCCTGTTGGTTTGTTCCACTGCAGAGTTTCTTGTTGCTTATTTTTTCTGGACATTTGATCTTTATGGAGACAGCGAAGGCAGCTGTTGATGAAAGTCTGCAACAAGCTGTTAGAAATCCTTTTCGTGACGCGAGCGCAGTGCAAGTTTCTGATCCGTATAGAAGAACCGACTTCACGGTGGTGTTGAAAATGCGAATCTTGGTCCTCATGCTAAGCGCGGAAGATTTCCAAACTGGTTTCAGGTTGATGAAGGCGCATCTCGCCTTACTGATTCTGACTTTGAAATCTTCATCCGTTCCACCGGCCTGTGGTTGAAACGACGCTTCCTGGCTAGATAAGCGAAGGAGGCAACCTCTGTTGAATCTCTACCGTTGATGGTGATTGGTGCTTGTTGTTACCGTTGGTTGATTGGTTGGTTATCTTCATCACCTCCGTCTTCTCTGTGTTCAACTGCAGTTTTATTTTTGCTGCCTGCCTCTTCAGCCAGTTTGTTGGTTTTCGCCTGCATTCAAGTCTTCGAGGTTGTGTGACTAGACATACATCATCTGCGAAATCCATATCTTCTAGAGTCTTCTTATCGGTCGTCCAGCGTATTCCTGACTCCTCGCCCCCAACAGATTGACACATAATCCAGTCTGCCACAATTAAGAATATCATCGGTGATGATGGGCAGGCAGCCTTGTCTTACTCCTGTATGCATTTCGAACGCCTCCTTGAGCTTTTTCCGTTGTGGATCACTTGACACGTGGCATTGTCATATAGCAGTTGAATGACGCTGACAAAGACTTGAGCACTGTACGCCGTAGTGTTGAAGTAGTTTCCAAATTACTTCTTGGTATACGCTGTCAATTTAATAGAACTTAATAGGTAAATGACCATTTGTTACTTGTGAAACCTCACTCGGAATCATTGTATGATATCCGTATCGACCACCAAGCGAATTCGCCACTAAAATCTCTCCTTCCTTGTATTTATGTGTATAGCAGGATAGTCCTGTTCACGCTTTTCCAATCATATAAGCATATGACCTAAGGTATTATCTAATTATTTCATATGTTTCAGTTATTCGCATTACTACTGGATGCTCACTTCTGGGTTCACCAGTAATTATTCGATATGCAGAACATCCTATTGATTGTTCGCATAAATTGTAATTAGTCACATACGTAGACGATTTCATTTATTGACTGTAATATTATGATATCACACTGTATAATTTACAAGTGACTTCATCCAAGTAGCTAATTAAAAGTCAGATAGTCTGAACTGATTCAGCTATATAAACTGAGGTGAATTCAATACACCAGTGATGGTCTTTGTCCCGGTACGTACACGTTTCATGCGCCTCAAGGTGTTCCAAATCATTTGTTGTAAACATACAAATACTCTTTAAACTCACGAACCACGCCGCAGTACTCATGGTTGACTGAAGTATGTCTGGTTACAGAATTTCATTATGAGCAGATATCGGTTAGAGAACCATTGGAAAACCTGCCGGGGAGTACTGGACAGCTGTTTCCCCCGTCCTAGTTTGGGACTCTTCATCAGTACGCACCCACCACCTAGGTTCGAACCCATGACCTTCTGGTTACAAGGTCAGCTAGCTCGTAGACCATTAAGCTACTGTGACCCGATCCAATGGCCCATGACTTC